AAGAAAGGAAGAAAGAAAGAAACAGAGCAGAAAGAGAAAAAAATAGGGAAAGAAAGAGAAACTACGTCTTACCAATATGAGAATCACTCGACACCACGGGATATTTCGCATGACGCAAGTGTTGGTTGTCGCGGGTGTACGTACCTGTCTTTCGAAGAGGGAAATCGTGGGCAAACTTTTCTTGAAGCATCTGCGGCATACGATAGGGATGCGAGGAGGCGTTCGCGGTACCCGCCGAATCCGATTGTGGTTGCAACCTGTCGGACAAACGTTCGGCTTATCGTCAGCGATCGGGCTCGCGTCGGTTCGAGACTCGAGTGAACCGAGTGTCCGAGCAAAATTAAAGGGGAGCGAGACCGAATCCGAGGACAGGGTTCGTTTTCTCGTCGACCCCGAGGAAAATCTCACCAGCTTCTGTATCCGGGCGTTCCGGGCACGGCTCCGTTCGCGGCTGCGGCGGCTTCCCTTTGCTTTTTGTTCACGAGAAAACTCTGAAATGGCAATCGTTTAACGGTTCCTTCGTCTTCAGCGTCTCAGGATTCTGCGAACGTTTCGAGGATAGCCGACTGCCAACGCGCGATAGACAAAACTCGATCACTATTTGCATCAATTTCAGAAATTCAAGCTTACTAATCTGTTGCTAAAGAATCTCTGTACCAAATCATTTTTATCGCAGAAACTAATTAATAACTGTCTGGTTAATAACTTAACCTCGTATTCATTGTTAACCCTTTGAACTCTGTAGGCTCCAATATTGCATCAGTTAGAATATCAAATATTTTAATGAATCAAAGAAACTACCCTAAAATTATTAGATTTTCTAGACATCCAAATTTTGTACTAAGGAAAATAAAAGATCTAGAAAATGTTACAGCATTTTTCATTTTCGCTAGGGATACTATAAAAATTAGTTGCAGTTGCTAGATTACAAAACAATGGAGTGCTAAGGGTTAAATATATTTATATAGATTGATAGCAACAAAGAAAAATATTCTTCAAAGAATAGCACTCCACAGATAAATCCCGTTTCTCTATTTATACATCATTAAAATCTTCCTACTACCAATTCTCAAAAAACTACTATCAATACAACAAAATCTAACCATAGTTCTTATCACTAACCACCAATTACTTTCCAAGTAATCGAGTTTTGTCCATGCACCAGCAGATCTACGAGTCGGCTATCTTCGAAACGCTCGAAGCTCGCGGTCCAGCTACCTGAAGCCGTTGCTTGACTTCCGTCGATGCGATCGCGCTGTGATCATGCTTGTCCTTCTTCCGGAGTGCTTCGATGCGCTCCTTCTCCCTTCGATGTTCCTCCAGCTGCTTCTGCTGCTCCCAGAGCTGCACCGGGAATCGCGAGAGAGAATCAGTACCGATACACACACAACATAAGATCATCTAATACAAAAAAAAAGAAAACTCACCTTTAACTGATGCATCTGCTGCTCGTGAAACTCGGCTAGTTGCCGTTCCTGCGCCTGATATCGTTGCCGAAGGATCTGCTGCTGAAGCTGGTGCTGTTGCTGCAACTGAGGCATGGGCCCGTGTTTTACTTTCGCCTGGGAAAAAACCGGCGAGCCGACGTTCGGCCAATGGCGAACACCGCGAGGGACCAGCAAAGAAATAGGAATGGCAGTGGAAACGGAAGCGAAAACGAGAGAACGAGGACGAGGGAGAAGGAAGAGGAGGAGGAGGAGGAAGAAGAAGAAGAGGGAACCGAGGAAGACGAAGTATTACCTCTAGTATCTTTTGCTGGAGCGCGTGACCGTGAAGGGTGGTCGTGGTTGGGTCGCCGGAGGCGGTATGATAGACGTTGGATGTCAAGGTGGCCGTAGCGCCGCCAACTCCGCCGACCAGGTCCCGCGGTCTAGACATGGGTGAACCCGGCGTGTCCCTGGCCATTTCTGCGCGCACAGATAATATCCACCGATTGCTCGAGTTTCTTGTCTTTTCGCTAACACTAGAACTACCGTGATAGTCGAAATCACTGGTTTCGATTTGTTTGTTTGGCAATTGAGTACCCGAAATGATTTTGAAAATGAATAGCTCCCTTTGAGTACTATAATGAATGTCTGAAGAAACTGAAAATAATCTATTGTTACAGTTTCTATGGGAATTGCGTATTAATCGTATTAAATGCGAGGTAGTTCTAGTGTTAATGGTCCCCTCGTTTCTCGCTTTCCATTAACCCTTTGCACTAGGAAATTTCTCGATAGAAATGTTTAACATTTTTTGACGATAACATTTGAAGACGATATTCTTTGAAATTAACTCGAAGGGAAAACACAAGTTTATTAACACACTGAGCGCCGGCCCCGTGAAAACGCGGGATTCTGAGTCTATCGCTTGACCGCAATAATGCAGATTTCTGGATTTCCATTTCTGGATTTGACGAATATGCAATTAGAATGTACTATTTTACGGAAATGTATAATGTTTTGAACATTGTTTTTGGCTACTCATTGATTAGATACTAGCGAATGAAGTTTGGGCTAAGTGGCCGGTACGTTGCCGGCGCTCAGGCTTTAACCCTTTGCACTCGAAAGGTGACTCTCAGTCACCACTTGATTTGATACAAGAAAACTATGAAACTGAATATTTAGTATTTTAAATTAAACTTTGTATAGCTACCCTGTGAATCATCGTCAAACTAGTTTCAAATAATATCGCCTATATCTCGTTGGAAAATTTCGGATGTTTCTAATCAAAAACTTTCTAGTGCAAAGGGTTAATGTTCCCCTCATTTCTCTCTTTTCGTCAACATTCCCCTCATTTCCCGTTTTCAGTTAACACGTCAACTGCCAGGTCGGTCACCGATAACCGTAGTTTCCAAATTGCTTGATAATAATTATAATTTCTCGGATAACTAATGTCGAATGAGAATGTTTAGTAGCGTAAATTACTAGACAGTGTAACGCGAACATTAAGATACCAAATAACAGGTAATTGTTCCTCTTTATCTTTTTCTACGGAAGAATAAGCGATACATCAAACTCCGAAGGTTTCCGTGGCAGTCAACGTGTTAACGTTCCCGTCGTTTCTCGCTTTCCGTCAATATTCCCCTCATTTCTCGTTTTTCATTAACACTAGATTTATGGAACCCGTCAATTTGACGGATACCGAATCTTTCAAACATTATTTAGTAACAGCTTTCGTCGATTCTGCTTCGGGAAATTATGCGAATACGTATTGCAATTCTCTAGTTTTTAAACTACAATTTTCGTAATTTATGGACGAACGCTTAAATTTCTGGGAACAATAGAATAAAGTGTAGAACGAACGCCCGTAAATCTAGTGTTAATGTTCCCCCCATTTCTGCGTTTTTCGTTAACACGTTGAACGCCGCACGATTTCATAGAGCGAAATACACAAAATGGAGAAAATACAATATTAAATCATTCCACTGAATTGATATTATCATCATTGCATGATTCATCAAACTGAATGTCGCAATGGGCAGCATTATTTATAATATAGAAATGTTTGCGAATAATCCTCGTTTAACACTTTGACTGCCACGTAAACATTCATCAAAACTTCCATGCACTCGAAACAGTCCTGTTAATGAAGCGGAAATGAAAAAATCACGATTCTTTATGACGATTGTCCCAGTAGTTTTCTTATATCTCATACGTCCAGGCGGTCAAAGCGTTAACCGAGTGAATTGTAATTCGATTCGCTTAGGGTCACCGGCGACCCCCGTGGCAGTCAACGTGTTAACGTTCCCCTCGTTTCTCGCTTTCCGTTGAAATAAAATAGTTCCTCATCGTCAAATATTAAAATGTTTCTAATAAAAAAACTTCCGAGTGCAACGGGTTAAACGACAGAAACTATCGCTCGGCATTCTCCATGCAAGTTTCTGCAAAAACCGCTGGCACTCGAACGGTTAACCCTTTCGCGACGGCGCACCTGTACCATTCTTCGCTACTTTCCGCAACAGTGCGACCGACCATGCTTTGCCACTTTTCGCGAAAGCGCAACCATACTTCGCCGCCAATGTATTTGTAGCTTGATTTTTCGCCATTGAAGTAAAATAATAATATAAAAAAACCAATAAGCGGCTGTCGTATCTAGACGGCGTCAGTCCCTGTGGACTGGCAGTAGACTTTTCGTTTGGGCTGGATTCTACGGACTGACAGCGAACTTCTCGTTTGGTCGACATCGGTGCACGAGACCAGCATTTTAAAGGGTTCAATTATTAATGACAATTAAAAAATTCACGTTAAAATTTAGTGTACCCCAGTGGCTTTCTCGGGCTGATCGTTTCTTGGTGTTCGCACTTTTGTCTCTCTGGCACCCCCCCCTCCCCATTATCTTATGTTTATACATTGTATACACGTGCATCGCCTGCACCATTGTCACAGTGCGAACGACAAAAGAAACAGCGAGAAAAAGGAATCGTCCGTTGCGCCGTGTCGCGCGGTCCAGTTTGGCGTTCGTATTTGTAGCTTTATTTTGAGTCCGCCATTGAAATAAAATAATAATATAAAAAAACCAATGAGCGACTGCCGCTGCAAAGTAATAAATGACTGCTGTGTATAAGCGGCGTCAGCCTCCGTGGACCAAAAAGTGGCTGCCGTATATACGCGGCACCCGTCGCGAAAGGGTTAATGTTCCCCCCGGTTTCTGCGTTTTTCGTGAACGTTCGCCTCGCGATTCGCGCGAGTTCAGGAAACGGCGCGCGGCGGACGTCACGGGAGATACGCGACCGCGAAAATTGCCACGGGCTCTCGTTCACGATCTTTATCTCGGATCCGACGCTCGGGACTCGATAGCGCGGCTATTTATAGAATTTCCTCGTGCGCGGGCGTGAGAGTGAACGCGAGCGCGGCCAACTTATCGCGTTGTTCCCGTTCGGCCGATTTTTACGGGTCTACGAGGTGGGCGCGATCGAGGAACCGATCGATGGATCGGATAGAGATTCGAGGAGACGTGTGTATGGGGGGAGGAAGGTGGGGCGGAGGGGAAGCTGGAGATGAAATTAGGTGAAGAAGGCATAGATGAG